CTACTACTACCGTACTACTACTACTACTACTACTACCGTACTACTACTACACTACTAATACATTCAATTATGATATCATTATCGTTTTGTGTTATTCATTCATATGAACTGCATACGTGACTTACGGAGAAACGTCGAAATCAAGGAATGAAGATAATTCCAATGCATCAGGCGCACTTGCACATTCTAAAGCACTAACTTTTGGATAGTACAATATGAAAGCTACGCACATCTCTTCCATGGTCCCTAGACCACTCTAGAATAAGCAAACATTAAAATAATGTTGACTTATGAGATATAGGCCTACAAAGTTATTTGAGTGAATATGTGAAGGCTATCAAATCAAATCAAATCAATCGAGTGGTATATAATTATAATTACGGAATTACGGTTGATTAATTGGTTGATTTACGGACTGATTGATGGATAGGTTGATTTAAGGATTGATTAATTGATTGATTGATTGATTGATTGATTGATTGATTGATTGACAATAAACAACTTCATATAGTGCCAAATCATTATAATGACTGTATTAACAACAAAAAGCAATAATGCATTGAGGCCTGTACTATAATTAGACAATAAATCTGAAGCAATTTTTACTTACAACCGTAATCGTATCTCTTTCGGACGTAGAATATGTACATTCGACCACCAGCTCATCACCCTGTATAGATATGCAATCAGTTACACTGAAAAGTACTGCATTAAATTGTTGTTGTTCTATAGGCTATGTTTCATAGTTTGACGTTCCTATATTGAAATGTTTACATGTTCTCCTACTTGGAGGTTGAACAGTAACATTAAATTTGAAATTTATTTCAACGGATATTGACAAGTATTACGTAACATAATAGTTACAAAACACACATTGCATACAGTGTTTTGTAACATAATAGTTACAAAACACACTGTATGCAACAAGATGCTAAAAATGAAATTATTCTTTACGATAGAATGCTGTGGCTTACTGGATTTAATATAACGGACAAATCAAAATCACAATACTTACTGCTTTTACTATCCACTCTTCTTCCAGGATTCGTTGTTCTTGGAGATTAAAGTCGTAAAACTTGTCTCGTAAAACATCGCCTATATATTTACCATCTCGGAAATGGGTCAAACGCATAGCTATCGCTGTGTAAAATCAATTAATCAAGCATAAATACTTATATGTATATAATATAATATATATATACATATATATATATATATACATATATATATATATAATATTATATATAATTTTTATCAACCGATGTATGTTTATGAATGCATATAATTTGCAATACCCGCTGCTCTTGGGGAATGGATTCAAAACTAGTAATTATCATTATTATTATCATTATTATTATCATCATCATCATCATCATCATCATCTTCATCATTATCATTATCATTATCATTATCATTATCATTATCATTATCATTATCATTATCATTATCATTATCATTATCATTATCATTATCATTATCATTATCATTATCATTATCATTATCATTATCATTATTATCATTATCATTATCATTATCATTATCATTATCATTATCATTATCATTATCATTATCATTAATATTATTATTATTATTATTATTATTATTATTATTATTATATCTATATCTCAGTGTATGTTGTGATCATTTATATTTATTTTTACAAATTCAAAAATTTGGACAGCAACCCAAAAATGTCTCAAGATGGCCCAGTGATTTGGCTTGACAATACGCACTCTAGTTCTTCTTTAAAAGTTTTATTCTGTAAAAGTTTGCGATGGGTATCCTTACCTGCTAGATGGGCGTGCAACGTTACACCAAAGATTTTCATATCACTGTCAGCAAACATCTGTGTTAAACAGAGCAAAGTTGTGCATGCAGTGAAGTGTTATTTAAAAATTCGGAACAAAAACGGTTTTGAATAAAACGTACACCTAAATTTGCAAGACAACGTTACGTTACGTTCCAAAGCATTAGATAATAAATAAATACAAATAATTGGTTGTAGCAAATACATTTTTAAATTCTCATAACTTAATATAATGATATTATAATACTATTTCAGTAAAATAAATCCTTGCTGTGCCCCGGGGCTCATAGTACCACGGGGCTTATCCCCAGTTTCTGCAGTGTGAAGCGGATGAGAGTCTGATACTCCTCTGGGTATGACGCTAGTCTATTGCAGGTTACTCCCAACAATTTTTTAGTACCCAGTCATACCGTCTGGATAGACTGAAGCAATGTAGATAAGGTGCCTTGCTGAAGGACACAAGCGAAATTCACAGCAAAGGATTGAAACCTCCACCTCGAGGTCGTGGGGAAACCAAACCGTTTCCGCTGCGCCAACCGCTCCAATACTAGGCGTATTATGATAGACCTAGATTATAGCTTAGAAAGAACTTTTAGGCAATATTGATCAATTCTACCTTTTCGGTGCAGGTATTGCTGCAATAGCCATACGTGTTGAATTCAGTCACACCGGGTGGGATGTACCAATGTAAAAATGTAGGAATACCAACTTCCAGCATACCGGCTTCAAATGGACGAAGTTCAGGTGTATAGTATAATCGTACGCCAGAGGCATCGCGAACACCTAATACAGTAAGAAATTTAATGGAAAAATGTTTGTGGTAGACCTATTTAAAACAATTTATTATAATAATAGGCCTAACAGTAGTATTGATAGCAGTGGTAGTGTAATGTACTAGATAATCATCCAAATAATAATAATATTATTATTATTATTAGTAGGCCCCTAGTAATAATAAAATATTCGGTAATATTTAAAATGATAATAATAATAATAATACAAATAACAATAACAATAATAATAATAATAATAATAGTAGTAGTAGTAGTAATAATAATAATAATAATAATAATAATAATAATAATAATAATAATAATAATAATAATAATAATAATAATAATAATAATAATAATAATAATAGAGTATAAGGTATATGAATACCTTATTCTATAGAGGAATCCTAATGTAGTGTCTTACCTTCTTGAAGTTGGGGGTTATCGTAATGGACCTGTAATTGCATGTACCTTGGTGAGTCTGGTCCACCAAAATTGTATCCCACATTGTCTGGAAATATTAACGGCTGGAAAATAAATTCGAGAGACTAATGTTTTTAGCAAAAATATATTTCAGACAATATTCTTGTTAAATTACTTTTCTAAAAATTCTCTAAAGTAACAAACCTACCTTGCATTATTTATAAACTCATGTTAATTGAACAATCAGTATTGATGTTAATGCTAGTAATTCTTAACGAAGAAACTGATTATCATCCGAAGCTATAAATATGGTATAAACAATATAGGCCTATGAATATGAGAAGTTGAGGATGATGACGGCGACGAACATGATAATGATGACAATTATAATGTCGATGGTAATGATGATGAGAATGACGATGATGACGATAATTATGATGGTGATGACGACGACGATGGTAATAATTATTATGATGATGTCGTGAATGACAAGTAGGGTGTAACGACATATTGTCAGACACCAGCTTTGTAACTTACCCCTCCTCCAACCGCCCATCCGAATACGAGTTCAAAGCACATGTCTATTTCTACCATATCCATACAGTTTTGGCTCATATTACGTTTGACATCATCATGAAGATCCTTGCATATTTTCAGGCCGAAATGATGAACAACGCCCTCGTTCTTCTTTTGAATGAGTGGGTCAATCTACAGATCATAAAATCAAATATTAATTATTTTGTTTAATTATTTTTTAAACTGTACAATCGTCGCTAAAAATATAAAGATTATTAGCTTATGTGATAAGACTGTAGCTCCTGTCTCTTATACACATCTAGATGTGTATAAGAGACAGGGCGTGCAACGTTACACCAAATAGCTTTCGACGATATCCGAGAACTGTTAAACCATCTGTCTCACTTCCATACAGCAACTCATAGTCCGATTGGCTATCTATCACAGGCTGTTGGTTCCCAATACCATGTCGGTCCTATGACATTAAAAAAAATGATGGACTTTTTTAAAAGAAAGTTACCACATTGCGCCAATAGCATATACGGTACCTATACCAAGAGAATGAGACTTTGTGAATACACTATCAGCTTCATTTTTATATCATGTTGCTAATATTCATTGGTTAATGATCTTTTTAATTCTGCGTTTTCTCTTCTTCCTGACAAGTGCTTCGTTTCCATGTACAGTAGGCCTACTTGTTTTTTTAACACATTAGAAACGCTTGGAAGGTAAGATAATATTTTGTTGTGATTGGTCATGAGGGCTTGCGTGTTATAATATTTTAAAATGAATTTAAAATTAAGTAAGTCTGAATACAGATTCAGAACAGAAAACTTATCGTACGGGTGAATATGTATACTACTACAAACCAAAAAGTGCACTATGTTAAAAAAAAAAAAAAAAAAAAAAAAAAGTGAAGATAGAATAAAATAAAAAATAATAAGTTGGATTTGTATAGCATCATGCAAAAAAGCCTCTATGCGCTTGGGAATTGAGCTCCTTGACTCTAAATAGAGAAAGAAATAGAGAAACTCAAATTTTCGACACATTTAAAAATACAGAGAAAGTAAGTATCAGAAATGCTACAATGTGCAAATAAAATCAATTAAATAATTCTTGAAAGTTTGCATGATGCATGCAAATAAATAATTATAGGTTTATGGTACACCATGTGATGTACCGAAAACATATAATTATTTATTAAAATCAATGTAAAAACCATAAGATAATAAGTATGCAAATGTAATTGGTTCAGGGGCACAAGGTGTAGTCAAAATAGGATAAACAGTTGTAATTTTTATGCCCAGAGAATAGCAAGAGCTCCTTTTAACAACGTTTTGAACTTTATATTAGTATTAGGGATTTTTTTTTTTTTTGCTTTGTTTTTTTAATTACGTACATAATGCCAACCTGAGTAGAGATTCGAATAATTACTGGTAGGATATTGCAGTATAAAAGTTGCACTATTCTGTGTTTACCAAATGCAACATGACTAAGTTATGGTTGTTTACTTCATAGGAACTCGAAAAGTTTGTAATTTGTGCTGGTTTGCCAATTTATAGATACATTGATCAGGAATTTAAAAAAAAACAAAAAAAAAAACAAAACATGATAATGCAAAATTTAGTGTTCAATTGTTACTACTCATACCTTTGTAGAGGAATTAGTCGATTATTTGTTGACATAATTAAATTTCGGCGGATCTGCTTAACTGCAACAGGTCAAATTGTTGTTATTTTTTTTTAACTTTTCCTCACAACAAATAAGCCATGTGGACGTTTGAATGCTGAAGTTACTTTCATTATTCTGTACTTATACAGAATATACTTTAAAAATTTATATTAAAGTACGTTTTTGTTTGCTATTTTCAACTTTGTTTCACTGTTGTATAAATGTGAATGGTATGAATCATGCCTGCCAGAGCTCATGGTCTACCTAAATTACATAAGGATTTTGATAATATTCCACCTCTAAGACCCATTATTGATACAACCGGCACTTGTTATTACCATAGAGAAAATAGTTCTCTATGTTATTACTCAGTAGCTAAGTTCTTATCTAACTTATTAGGGCCTCTTACTGTTACTGACTTTGTCCTTAAAGATTCGTTTGAAGCTACTGACCGCATTAAAGGTATACCAGACCATTTATATAATTTAGGTTACCGTTTTGTATCTTTTGATGTTGAATCTCTGTTTACAAATGTTTCCCTTACTAAGGTAATTAATATAATTCTTGATAGGGTTTACAACAAGAAATTGATAGGTCTATCTACTAATCTTAAGAAAAATACGTTAAGGAAACTACTTCTAGATTGCTGTACTAAAACTGTATTTACGTGTAATACGGTAATGAATTCTATAAACAAACTGTCGGCGTTTCAATTGCTCACCCCTTGGACTAGTTTTAGCCAATATTTTAATGATTGAACTAGAAGAGTCTATTGTTCATAAACTTATAGAATCAGGTATTATTAAGTTTTATACTCGTTTTGTTGACGACACACTAGTGCTAGGTAAACCTAATGATTTTCATCACATCCTACGTCACTTTAACGCTTTTCATAAACAGATTAATTTTACCTTTGAATCATTTGAAAACAGTGATATAGTACATTTTCTGGATTTACAATTTGACAATAGTGTAGGAAGCATGAATATAATCGTAAAAATACACATACAGGTCAATATAGGCCTATCCATTATGATAGTTTTGCCCCATGGAACCATAAGATTTCTTTAAAAAGTGGTATAGCCGTATTAGTCAGTGTATATATTGGATAAAAGATAAAAATATTTTTTTATCTTTTATCCAATCATATCATTTTGTGATGTCCATGTATATTGCTGTATCTTGTGTAACACTTCACTCACCTGATGGAACCCCATTTACTGGGGCAAAAGCTCGTGAAATAAATTAATCGTTAGTCAAAATAGTGCTACCTTCTCATTTGTTTCATAAGATTTTTGGATTCGTAGTTTAGTTTCAAGAGCCCACAAACTGTGTACTCCAGATAAACTTCAAGCAGAGTTTGTAACATTAGAACATTTATGTCTTGGAATGGGTATCCTTTAAAAGTTGTTAATCATGTACTCAATAAATTAAATGAACCTAAATGTATACTGTACATAGGCCTACTGATGATAGCTTGATTAAGATTTGGGTTAGATTGCCTTATGAAAGGCAGGTGAATCCATTTTACGTAGATGCTTCAACAAAGTAAAGAAACACTTAGTTAAAGAGGTAAAATTCATAACATTATGGCAGTACAAAAATGTCTCTCTCATTTTATATCTACTAAAGATCAAACCCCTAAGGCATAGGCGTAGATCCCGGGGGATGGAGGGGATATATCCCCCCCCCCAATATTTGACAAGGGGGGATGGTCCATTGAATCATCCCCCCCCCAATATTTTGACTATGTATGGGATAAAATGGATCTTTACCCACTTCAAAAGACTGTCACAGAAATAATTTGCACTGTCTTATGCGCTTACAAAGATGAAAATTAGCATAATGTATTAATGTTGATAACAAAATTATTTTATCTGGTACCAATCTAAGCTCTACTTTCC